ATTCAAATCGTGATGCAATTCCAAATGAGCGTGTTCTGGCTTGTTTTGGGTTTTTCTCGATTTAACAATTGTTGACTTTATTACTCAGCTTAATATACTAATTCATTTTTGTTTTGGAATCATTGTTTTGATTTGTTTTTCGTTTGTTCTTTTTTTTTTAGTAAGTTTAGTTTTAATTGTTTATTTTATTTTGTGACTTTATGCACATTCTTTTTCTGTTCAGTTTTTCCTTACATCTGCGCCTCTTGGTTAGACATTTATTTAGAATACATAAGTAAGCAGTTACACATAATTTGAGATATATAAATTAGTTGGACATTAAATAGAGCAAAAAAAAAAAAAAAAAACGGAAACAGAAACAGAAAGCAAAAAAATAAATTCAGTCACTAAATTATTGTACAATGCATGTTCTCTGACAGAAATGAATCCTCCTTAGTATACATACGTTTGTTATGTATATGTGTGGGAGAAACTTTGAATTTTATAAAAATAATATATGTGTATGTTAATGTTAATAATTATTTATTATTTGTATGTGTTCTATATAGCATTTAGTAAGGACACGTCCTGTTTCTCTGTAGCACTCTCTACTGCCTGTTGCCTTTGCCCTTGCGATTGTTGCGCTGCTTGTTTGACGTCGCTGTTGTCTTCTCTGGAGTTTCTGTAATTCAGATTGAGAAGGAGATTTAGCAGGGAAATTAAAAGCTGTTTGTCATGTAACATACCTTCAGGCACATTTGCATCCAGCTGTACTTTCTGCATCGTGTGGTTGATTGTTTCGAGATGTGCCTGCACTGGCGTCTCATCGCTTAGTTCCACAACGAGTGTTTCCTCCGGCTCAAGTTGCGCCCGCTGCTCCTGCTCCTCTTGCTCTTGCCGTAGCAGCGCTGGCACCTGCTCCACCTGCACAACCACTTGCTGCTGCTGCTGGTGTTGGGGATGTGGATATGGCTGCTCTTCGACAACATGCGCCTCTTCAGCTATGATCCCATTGAGCACATTAACCGCCTCCTGTGCCATATTGGCCTCGGCTGCCTTGCGCCGCCGTTGCTCCAGCTCGCGGGTGTAGTTGTGCGTCCATTCGATATGCTCCTTGTAATACTGATGCACTGGTATCACAATCACTGAGATATCATCGACTGTAGCCGCCGCTTTGCTATCCGCCAAACGCCAATGGCCAGAATCGTTGATTTTGCCCCGTGCGCGCGCTACTAATTCCTGGGCGACCATTGTGTAGCGATGCTTCTCCTTGGGGTATCGCGACAACGTTTGGAAGACGGTGCGCGCGACGGCATCATTTTCGGATACATCCCAGAGGCCATCGGTGGCCATAACCAGTATGCCATAATCACCATCCTCGTTGTGTTCATCGAGAATGCTGACAACCTGACTGAGATCACGCTGTCGCACATCGGGATGCGGCGTTAGGAATGGTTTGATTTGTATGCCCGTATTTATGGCCAGTAGATCGTGATCACCAAATCCACGGGTCACGCCCAGCGTGCCCAGCAAGCGGCTGCGCTTGCCCTCGCCATTGACAACCGGCATGCGCAGATCGTCACGCGTCAAGGTCTTATATGTCCAGCCCTTCATGGTGCCCTGGCGACATAATATGCGCTGGCCCATGTCCTTAATATGTGGTCGCTTCGCATACTCCATGGCCACATACTGTTTGCCCATCAGGTGCGGTTTCAAGCGGGCCACGTTTAACAATCGTTCACGTTCCGTTTCCGGCGTATGATCAGCCGAATAGGCCGTGGGATAGCTGTGCGCAGCATCCACTGGATCGGGCTCAATCTTATTGGGCTCTGTTGTTGTTGATGGGGTCACTCCAGCACTCGTTCCCGATCCCGCTCTTCGCTGACAAAGCACAGCGCGACTATCGCCCGCATTGGCTACATACATTTTGCCATCGATGAAGAGCGAAACGCAGGCAGTGCAGCCGCCCGCATCGCGGTACCGATCTCTGTCCTGCGCTATTAGCGAATCCATGTGAAAGAAGGCGCTCTCCAGGGCACCAATAATTAGGTCGTCCTTGCTAACGCGCCGCTGAAAGTAAATTGGATGAGGGAATGTCGCATTCAACTGTAGTTTGCCGTTCTCGCTGTCCGCATCGCGTGGCAGCAACAGCTCGATGCAATCCACCAGCTTCTCGTGCAGTATGTGATGGAATTGATGCGAGGCAGCCAATGCGGCTCCGTAGCCGGCATGGCCATCGAAAATGCCAAAATACGTGTAGGGCAGATCAGGATGATTGTGTTCCGGATCCGAAAGGACTTGTCTGCAAGGAACACAATAGAATGGTTAGAATTGTTGCTGCTAGTCTTTTTACCAGTTAAGCCGGATATAAGTCATAGACACTTTTGCTAATTTTTGAACAATTTTCAATTAATTACTTTTTTAATAGGCTTTTTAATGTCTTCCAACAATTTTATCAGCTTACTTTAAACTAATTATTTGGCTTATCTTATATTTTGACATTTCCAGTTTAATTGAAATATTTGGTAAAAATTATCTTAAGTTTATTTTTTTTCAATTCTGTTAGATATCCTTCTGTTTTACTTTTTTTTCATGACAATTTTGGGCATTTGGCAACACTGGCAAACAGGTCTGTGACTTACCGGGAGAAGGAAGCTTGATCCTCGTTCCACTCGGACTTGCCAGAGTTGACGCACTCGGCGTACCCAGTGCCCCAGGGTAGCAGATTTATGTCGCGCGGCACGATTATCGGCCGAACGTTGTGATCGGCAGAGGCGCGCAGCTCATCGGCAGTGAGCAGCTGTAGAAATGGAGGCCTCGCATAGGGAAACTTGTCTGGCATTTGCTGTCCAGAGCCCAAACGCAGTGCGCCCCGCTGATGCTCCCGCTCGCTGCTTGGCAGCGGCGGCAGATCGGGCGCAATGGCCGATATGAAGCGATTTTTAAAGTTATTAAACATGGTTGGGAGTGAGAAGTTTCCACAAAAGCCTCCGGTAGTCGGTCGCACTCACTGCTGCTGCACTTATGTGCTGCCTCTCGCTCACTCCCACTGACGTGGCGAGCTTGCTGTTGTTTTTATATGTCGATGTTTGCAATTTGTCGACTCTGTTCGGTCCCTATACCGCTCTTATCTCTATACTGCGGCTAAGCGTGCGTCAAAATACAAAGTAAAATGGAATTCACACGCAGCTAGCTGCTGGATTTGGTTTATCTCTCTGTTTTCTTTGTGTGCTTTGATTATGAATCGATTGCGGCAACTTTATTATCGATTGGTGCTTGGCCACTATCGACTGGGCTCTTGTTTCCTTTATTTTGCGTGCTAAAAATAAGTTATTCCTATATTTTATTGTTTACTTTTGATATTTTGAACGCAGACACTGTCGAATACTATCGTATAGCACGTTACCAGCACGTTATCGATCAATTTGATTTCTTTTGCTCCACCGACCAAAGGAAACATCAACAACAACAATCAGCCCATTTATCTGTTTTGTCTTAAATGTTGTAAAAATCAATACTTTGTGATACACTTGATGATTGCAGGTGGCCGCACGCATGGGATGATTAGTTTATAATTGACTAATGTGAGCCTTTAGCACTGATTTCGCATGTTTCACCTTTTACCGAAGCCGATTTAATATTTTCTCTTGCTGACGAATTTGTATGAAAAACAATAGAAGAAGAAGCAGCTGCTAGGTAATTAGGGATGGGAGTGCAATTATAAATGCATATCGAACTATCGTCGTACTGATGATATTTATTGTACGATACTGCGATACACCTCTATAGATTTAAAGTGTAGATGGCGCCACATGTGCTGTTTCAGAATTTAAAAAAAAATTGCTAACATGTTCATTTGTTGTATACTTGTAGATCACAACATAGCGAACTGCGCGATGTTATCATCAAATCGAACGCATCGGGCATTGCATTAGATCAGCAAAAGGTGGATCAATACATAAAGGCCATGTCACTTAGCAGCAGCGAAAAGGTAAGACTAGTTTCAGACCGAGCTTAAATTTAAATAAAACATTGCATCCGTTTTGCATAGGTAAACAATGAGAAACTGGCGGCCATGTGGATGTATGCCACCCACATGGGCAGCCTGCCGCCGCCCTCGGTGCGCAAATTGACACCACCATCGCGTTCCATCATGCTCATACCAGCCACAGCTGCCGGTAATGGCGTAAGTATATATTCATAATTATATACATATATACATATGTATGTGTATAAGAATGCATGATCCAATTTGATCGCCTCCTACAGGCACCACCGCCGCCTACACGCATGCCGCCTGCACCACCAGGATTAGCAGGTGGTATGCTTCTGCCAGTGCCGCCGCCACAGTATCGCGGCATGACTTTGCCCTATATGCGGCCGGGTTCAGTGGTCTATGCGCATCCCGCCAGCCTAACGGGCACCTATCGAACACACAAGAGCACCAAGTCGGCGGAGTTGAATGGCCAGCGTCGGCGTCGTCGTGCTGGCAAATCGGATGCGAATCGACGCCAGCGTCGCAAGTCCGAGGCAGATGTACTAGATGGTGCACCCAATTTTCAGTATACGGGCCTGGATCGCGCGATAGCGGACAGTTTCCTGGCACGCCAGGAGCAGTCTCAGGCGGGCAGCCACATTGACTACTCCTCATCGACGTCCTCGGCGCACAGCGATGTCTATGGCCAAAAACCAGCTGCCGGCTCGCGTGCCTCCTCCAAAGCGAAGATTGTGTGCCGCGATGTTGTCATGTGAGCCCCAATCCCTGTGGCCCCGATTGATGTTCAGCAACTTTTGTAAATAGCTTCCCCCAAGCAACTGCCAGCCCGCCCATTTAGCGGCTGTCCAAGAGCCCGTTTCTCTCATTATTAATATTATTATTTTTTTTATATGCACATTTTTTGCATACACAAATAAATACATCTAGTTGTAGGCATGTGTTTGCATAATAAACGAATAAAGTATGCTCGTATAAACATAGAAAATCCGTGCATCAGTGCATCAGTGCATCAGTGCATCAGTTCATCATCTGATTGGATCTGGCTAGAAGTCCTCGTCGCTGTGGTGTTCCGGCTTGCTGGCTGTTTTGGGTCGCATCGGCAGTTCACCCGTTAGCTTCGATATGCTAATGTCGTCGATGGAGTTGAGATCGACTGCTCAGACATGGGACAGAGAGGATTAAGTGTACTTAAGGCCTTCGGACTTATACTCACATTCATCGTCGCCAGTGCCAGCGGCGCCGCTGAGCCCGCTCATGCCCATTATGTCACCCACGTCCAGTTCGCTGTCGGAGCTGCCAAAGCTGCTGTCGTCCTCGTCGCGGCGGTTGAGCATGCTGCTGCCTGGTCCATTGCGACCGTTGCGTGTGGCCGGTGCAACGCTTGAGGAAGCCGCAGCAGCCGCTGCAGTCTCTCGACGAGTGCGTCCGGTTGTGGGACGTATGCGTGAGGTGGCCGTGCCGGGACGCTTGCTCGGCGCCGCTGAGCCGGCTTTAGCAAGTCTACTGCGCTGCAGGATCAGATCCTCGTCACGTATATCTGGTATTTCCGAGTCTAGGCCAAAGGAGCTCTCACGCGCCAATCCGCTGCCCATCCCTTCATCCTCATCATCATCGTTGTCGTCGTCGTCGTCATCGTCCTCGATCAGGCCTTCCGGTATAAATGGCATCGAATTCTCAGCCGGTTTCTGCAGCAATGGTGATGAGATGGGCGTGGCACGGCGCTGGGTGCGCATCTCCATTTGAGTTCGCAGCGCATCGCGCACATGTAATCGCAGAAAGTAACGTTGGAACAGCTGCTGCAGCTCCTTTTCGCACTCTTCAAATTCGGCCATATGGGCGGGCCGAATCTTCTGAAGCGCATCCAGCCGCTGCTTGGTGCGTTCCAGTTCCGCGCGCTTGCGCTGCAATTTGGATTTCAGTGCGTTCAGCTCGACGCGGGCATTCTCCAGCTGGGCGCGACTGGACTGCAACTTCAGCTGGTTGGCCTGTATGGCATTCTTCATGGTGCGCTCCACGCCGAGTAGCTCCATGGGACGTTGCGCCTGGGCGAGGCGCGCCTCCTTGTTAACCAGCTCCTTGGACAGTAGATCGAAGAGGGCGGCGCCGCGTTGTGTTAGGTCCGAGGATAGCTCACGAGCGCGACGCAGCTCATCCATTTTGTCGCCAATATCCACCTGATTGAGACTGCGATATTGGTCGCGCTCGCGTTCCTCCTCCCGATCCACGCCCTCCTCCGCTTGCGTGGGTGCAATCAGCAGTCGCGTGATCTTCTGCAGTTCCGTGGCACTGACGGCAGCCGCCGCGTACAGCTTGCGTGGATTCAGTCGTATGGCCGATTTGGTCAGAAAAAACTCTGTAGCGGAGCGTATGAGCATCACACGCTGCTCCTCCGATTCCACGCCGCCGGCGAGCACAGCACCCGGCTCCAGCAGTCCGGCCAGCCACTGCAGCAGCTCGGCAACGATGTGAAAGCTCGCCAGGTTGCCGTGCGGCGTGGCAAGCGCCTGCAGCGGAAAGACTCGGGGAAAACCCAGCAATTTGAGATGCTCGCCCAGATCTGAAAGCCCGGACAGGGGTCAATTCGCGGTTACCATCCCAATGACCACTCACCTCGCACATCCTTGAAGGACATCCTGCTTGCTCTTTCGCTGCGGACACACAATTTCAGCTGCGTAAGCGACGCCTCCCGCCAAATTATGCACATTTTTTCTAGCTCATTTGTTGTGGTTCTACTGTTGGCTTCGCTTTTGTTTACGCCAACTACCTGGCCGGGTCGTTGCCTGGCAACCATACGGCCGACGATACCCCAACCATCCATGCCTCTGGCTGGCAACCGCCTGGTCAGCAATTAGCACACCTGCACGCCATCCACAAAAATGTTATCAAATTTGAGCTCACATTCAATTAGAAATGTGTATGAAATATTTCTGAGTTCGCCTTGAATACCGAATGGTGTACTGGAGCAAGGATATATGATTTAAATTCGAACGGAAGGCAAAATACAATAATATAATTTTAGTTTTCCGTTTTATATTTGAAATTCAGTTAGTCATTAAGTTCTTAAATCAATCAATTAGTCAGCTAGTCCTTAAGTCAACCAATCAGCTAGTTAGTCAATCAATCAGTGAATCATCTTTAAGCATTCAAGCCTTCGGTCAGTCAATCAACCCTTAGTCAATCAATCACCCTGTTAATTAATGCTTCTTTAAGTCAATCAAGCCGGCAGTCAGTCAATTAGTCCCTTAGTCAATCAATAAGTGGGCCGGTCAATCAGTCTTTAAGTCAATCAATTTGCCAGTCAGTCAATCAGTCCTCTAACCAATCAATCAGCCGGTCAGTCAATCAGTTATTGGGTCAATTCATGAATCCCGTAATGAATCAACCAGCCGATCAGTCACTCAGTCAGTCAGTCAGTCACGCAGTCCATTAGTCAATCAGTCAGTTAGTTTTATATCAACAAACCGTATTATACATATAGATGGAATGTTTATATTTGTGTAAGCCAATTAATTCTTCTAGTACATTTCCATTTGTACATTTAAAGAGTGTGTGCTCTTTTCTTTGCTTCTTTTTCTCTCTCTCGCGCTCTCTCTCTCTCACTTTCTCGACCGCACTTTTTGCTGAAAATAATTAATTCGTACTTTTGTTTGTTTATTTTTATTATTTCTAAGTGTGCGCAGAAAACATCGAGACATGTAAACACAATTTGTGGGAGCTGTGCGAAGTGAAGGACTTGTTGACCAAGGAATTAATTAAACTTGTTAACAGCACGCAAAACACGAATCCAGTCACAATCACCGTCACAGACACAGGACCAGGGTCTCTAGTGATTGAAGGGTATAGGCCGTGTTTGCATGCAACAAAAAAAATGAATAAAATAAATACAAATTTGTTATTGCTACAAGGCTCTCTTCGTAAACCTGGTTTTCCACATCCATGAGCTATGTATGTATTTTTTTTGTAGACAATCTTTGCTAATAGGGCCGACCTCTCAGTTCCATCGAAATATGGTAAAGTATTTATGCAAAGTGCTTATCCTGAATAATATTGAATATAATGCACCTCGGTTAAGTGGCTGTTTTTTTTTTTTTTCGATTGATAGTGCAAATCTTTAGAATGGCGAATGCGAATCGGTACACAAATTATAGCATTTGTATACGTTCGAGTATATTTGTATCTATTTTGGATGTGGTCCATGTGTTTTAATTGCTTCTAACACAACATTCCCCCTGGGAACCAACCATTGATTTCCCCATCCGCTGCCAAATTACCAGCACGATGACTAGTGCCCCTGTCGGATAAATGATTCCACAGAATGCTCGATTAATTGATGTATTCAGCAATATTAGCCAGCTAACGGCGCACGTGGACAACAATAGCGAGAACAACAACACGGCAAGCAAGAATGTTGCGCAGAATAGTGATTGACTAGGAGATGCCCTGTACAAATGTTTTAGCATAAGGATCATGTATAACAACAACTTACGATGGTTCGGTTCAAGCCAAGTTTTGGTTCAATCAGTGTTAAATTGAAGAATTCAGAGTAATCCGATCCGTGGCTCAAATTGGGAAGAGCGCTTCAACCAAGCACATCCTTTTGTGCGCTACAAACGCTTTGTCAATCTTATTATACCCTTGTGCAGGGTACAAGGGAATGTACACCATAAGCACGATAGCGACGCCATAACCACAAATGAACGCACAATAATCGTGTTCCATGTCCGATGATGGCAGATTACAAATGTCAATGATAGTGTATGTGCGCAAGTGTGTGTGCATGTGCATGTGTGTGTGTGAGTGTGTATGTGCATATGGGTTTGGGCGAGAGCTTGTATATGGGAATAGCTCGACATAATTATGACCTTGGTATGCCGTCAGTATTAGAAGGAAAATAACGAAAAAAAAGACTCGAACAGCTGGGGTTGCCGGGTGACACGTCAAAGTTCAATGACCAAAAGCACAGCAGGAGAGTTCCTTAACCACTTCGCACCACCGCCACACCATTTTGCTCGGATGATGATGAGCAATTAAATGGAACGCTTCATCAAAACACTTCGGATGGGCCAGAGCTGCCAAGCAAATGATTGAGAGCCTCCCGATTGCAGTGATAAGCATATTTCTTGGGAATCAGTGCAGCTGTAATTCGATATATTCCTTGCTGGGGAGATTAAGTTAAAATTAGTCGCTCAACAGTTAGTTTAACTGCAATCTCTATAGCTGAATAAAAAGTATGTTCTGATTTCATATACAAGCTTATAAGCTAAGGCTCCTCCAGACAGAGCCATTAGTATTACGCGTAGCCATGCAGGATTTCCTTGCTAATACTTAGGTTGAATAATTTTCTATATAATTTAATGGAATTTGCAAACCAATTTGAGCTAGTTCAAAGAGCGCGCTCAACACTCATTCGCTTTGAGTGCTCTGCTCTGAGTTAAAATACCGAAATCATGTTGGCCAAATTGCTTGGGTGATGCCTCAGCTCAACATTTCACACACATTTGAGCAAGCGTCTGATGAGATTTTATGGGTCAGCAAAGGGGTACACTGTGAAAAAGCCGAAGCGCATATTAAAGTAAATTTTAACTAGTTACTTGAGCTTAGGCGACATATTTGTCAAATTAAATTCAGATCTCGTATTATCTGTGTATATTACATATTTATGTGCTTGCTATCCCTCTCGTGCATGCCTATCAATTGTTTAGTTTACAAAGTAATAGCAAAATACTAAAACCGGCCCCCAGATTACGCTTTATTTATACACAGAAGAATTTATAAGGTGCTAAAAATGAATGGGGTAATTGACTTTTTAATTCGTGCCAACTTAAGGCGCACACAAATGAATTAATTAAATTCAAAAGACTCCAAAACGAAGATCGAATTTCCAAAACCCCTCACATTGGACCCAAAGAAACGCTATAGTAAAAATTTCTTTCCAGCTCTTACAGTTTGTCCTGTGCATTGATCACTGTTCAGATAGTCAGAAAGACGGGATTTTGTGATTTAATTGTTCAGTGTATAAATATGCAACTATTGGAATATAATTATCATGAAAGAAAAATGTAACTGCTGATAAAGTAAATAAGCCTTGCCTCAGGTTATGATTTAAAAGGTATGAATTGCATAGTTCCTAAATAATGCTTATGCATGTGTAAGACACAAACAGTTTTAAATGCATGTATTTTTAAGTTGCTTTAGGTGTTAATTCTTGTCACTAAATTGTTGGACGGCGGAATTCTCACCTTGTGCCAATGCTTGAATTCTGATAAATCAAAGCGTCACAAGTTGTTTGCGTGCCAACTGGCATTGCCCTTTCATAGGTATTTGAACTCCTTTCAAATATGATGGCAAATGCCTCCAAGGTGACGAGGGTCGAAGCCGTATCTTTATATACATTTAATTGGGCATGAAATTTGGCGCACTTTGAAGCCAGTGGGCAAAACAATTTACTTACGCTATGCCCTTTAAGTCAAGATTTCGGCCTTAATGCCACATGCAAAGCTACGTCCACACGCCCACAAGCCCACACACGGGCATGCACCCACTGGGCTGTTTTAAAGCATTGTGTCTAAATTTAGCCGCAAGTTTTGAATGCTCGATGAAATCAATTCCATTTGGCTAGCACTGCATTAAAAACATTTTGTTTGAGGTTTCCACAAATTGCTAACCACGCAAAATAAATTCATGACTGTCCATTAAGCTCCATGAATTGCGTCTTTCCCAAACAGCGGTGGTTTTTGCTGTTGCTTCAAGAAATGGTAAAGCTTACCCAAACAGTATTATGAGAAGAGGTAAAGATAAATTATGTGCCAATACTCATACTCATACTCATACTCATTCTCATACTCATACTCATACTCATACTCATACTCATAATCATACTCATACTCATACTCATACTCATACTCATACTCAGACTCATACTCATACTCATACTCATACTCATACTCATTCTCATTCTCATACTCATACTCATACTCATACTCATAATCATACTCATACTCATACTCATACTCATACTCATACTCATACTCATACTCAGACTCATACTCATACTCATACTCATACTCATACTCATACTCATACTCATACTCATACTCATACTCATACTCATACTCATACTCATACTCATACTCATACTCATACTCATACTCATACTCATACTCATACTCATACTCATACTCATACTCATACTCATACTCATACTCATACTCATACTCATACTCATACTCATACTCATACTCATACTCATACTCATACTCATACACATACTCATACTCATACTCATACTCATACTCATACTCATACTCATACTCATACTCATACTCATACTTATACCATCAAAGGGAGCCGCAATCACAACAGTGGCGGCAGGTGACATATTTATTACAGTCCCCAATGTATTGATGGGACAGTGTATTGCGCTCAAAACGGAAACCGGATAATTTGCTGTCCAGGCTGATGCTGTTAATGACACTGGCAATGGGTGTCCGTGTCGCATTCATTGAGTACTCACAGGCAGAGACTCCTTTTTTGCTTTGGCTGCCAACTGATTTGTCCACATCCCGTGACGTGGAATGGCCAAACTGGCCTCGCTGCGTAATTCGCATTGCGTTTCATTTGTCCTCCACTCGCTGGAGCGCAATTTCTAATCTGGCCGACCAACGCACAAGATTAATGTGTGTGCGTACCCTGTCCCATTTGTTGATAACAGGTGTGATGAAACACAACTCCTGATATATATATATGTATATGTGCGTGTATGTCCTTGTCTATTGGTTAAAAGCTTTTTGTTGCATAGGAATCCTATTGATATTCCATTGGATGGTACACGAGAGACTTTTTCGTTTGTCAATTGCTTTTATCAACATTCTCAATTGCCAACCCCAACAAGTCTTACTTTATGACTGATATTGCTTTTTTTTTTTGATAAATATACCTAGTTTTAATACTGAAAAAATGTAAAAAGGGCAGAATACTTTCTGCGAATGTAAGTAACGGGCAGGAAAGGACTCATCTTCATCCTTGACGAGCTGAGTAGATCTAGCTTGTCAGTCTGTCCGTCCGCGTAAACAAAAGCTTACGATCAAAATCGATTTTAGAAATCGGTTTCAATCATAACTTGAAAGTTAATGGATATATATACACCAAATTTTGTGTTGAAGTATACACGGGTTAAACATATTGCACTCTTTGGATGTCAGCTCCAAGCTCCAAGTAGCTCGGTACGAGGTTCAGGGTATCTCCTAGTCGGGACAGGACTCTTGTTCTTTTTTTTTTGTTGCTATAACAATGGGAAGGGTATTCTAATGCAGCAAGCTATCCAGTGCGTAATGCGCTGCGGGAGTTTCAATTCATGAATAGGCAGAAGTGGGATGTTTTCACTCTCCTAATCGAGTTTGCCGGGGCCAGTTCTCCCCCAGGACAATCAACAAAAGCGAGATACTTCCAAACTCTGGCCAACTTCAACAAAAGCTGGATTCAAATGGTTTCGCAAGGACAACGCCAAATGTGGTGAAAAGGGAGCCACAAGGTTCAACTTTTCTGCACATGTGAGAAG